CTTTATGTGGCCAATGCAGTAGAGTTTCTACCCCTTGGGAATCCAGTACAACAGAAACTAGCAGATGTGATGGAAGAAAAAAATCTCAAGAGTCAGRAACCTTCCCAGACTCAGGACTACAGTGGGCAGTAAATGTGTGTATGATCCTTTGTAAATGTGATATGTTTGCTGAGAGATACTACAGACATATTTTGAGTCCATTTTAAACTTTGTTCTGCTCTTTTCTCCCTGAACATTGTTTCCCTTCCTTGCAAAGTTAGCCCAGGCCAGCCTCCCACTGTCCCTCAGAGCCCATCTCCCTGCACAGGGAGCTGAACGCCTCCAGCTGCTGGTAGAATTCCCCTGTGTTACCACAGCAGCACAAACAGGAAACATTCAACACAAGGATTCTGTGTGGGCAAAGCCTCTGCATCCTCTGGGTGAATGAACAGCATTTCTGAAGGAGCCTGCAGAGTCCAGGTGTTTACTCCMTCTCCTTTTCCAATGAAGCCTGGCATTTTTCTGGGACAATTAGCATAATCTGTGCAAAATGAGTAGCCAGCACTTGGTTATACCAACTTCATGCAGAGAAGCTTGCTAATGGCCACTGTACTCAGAAAGAACATAACTTAAGCTGTTTCCCCAAATTTACTTCTCTGTACCCTTGGACAGGTACATTTGTCCTTCTCACATATCTGCCTGGGCTCCACCCTTGCATTGCATAAGCCCTTCTCCCAAAGATAAATCAACACAGAGGCATACACATGGAAGGATCTTTCTGAGTGGAGAAACATGTGAATAGCATGTCTATTACTTTGGGCTTGTTTGCAGTTTATTTTTTCTTCCTTTGAACAGATCTGATCTTCGGAAAGTAAGGAGTGATACAGACTTCATTTCCGATTAGCTGACTGCAGCCATAGATAGGACTGACATACACTGATGTGTTAATTTGGCAACATATCAAAAAAATCAGAGCCAAAAAAGCTGACAGGCAGCACAGTTCCCTGGAAAATAGATTTCCTTAAATAAATCTTTTGTTTTGACAGCATGACAGCTCTGTTCGAGAACTGTATCTGTATTGGAACACTATATTTTGATTTCTCAAAGACATGCAATTTAACTGCGCATGACATTTTGATTTAAAATGTGCATTAACTGCAACTTACAGAGAGTGTGTCAGATGTTTTAGAAATTGATTCCCTGTTAGGTTTTAAAAAGGTAGCTGTTCATCAGTAGATAACTAGGGCTGTTTTTCTTGTGATCCACCTGAGACTAGTTCATCRTCTGACATGATTTAATATGTTAATCCACAATCCAAAAAAAACCAAAACAAAGGAAGTCTTCACTGAAAAATTTGAGAAGTGATATAAAAAAATGTAATATTGGTAACTGGGCATCTACCTGCTTTGAGGGTGATCATTCATTAAAAAAAAATCTAAGTCTAAAAGAATGCATTCTGACATATAAAACAATAAATTTAGAATTGGAAATTAAAAACAAAACCAAAAACACCCCCCCCCCAAATTAAAAAATGAGACTGAGAATGAGCAAGTGTCTGGGAAAACTGTTTCAGATAAAGACTTTTTAAATACTCCTCCTGGGCAACCACACATTTTTGTCTTCTCAAGACAAAAGAGAGCAGATACCTCCCACATCTTCTCATCAGCAYGCTCATGATACCACAGTGCTGCTCTTAGACAACAAGGACAAAATATATTAATTTTACCATGTTTTTTCAAATCTGAAACTTAAGTAAAGCCTCCTGAAAGTGTGTTTGACATTTCATAGCTGAGAAACAGTCATGAMAATTGAACAAAAATAGACCAACACTCACCTCAAACACAAATMATTTCTGGTTGAAATAGCTGGGTTTGGTTTTAACATTAAGGTGATTTTCTTTTGGAATTATTGAAAAAAGAATAGGTTGTTATTAACCACGTGACAGAAAATAAAAGCACAAAAGTGTTGGGTTTTTTTTGAGTTTTTATTTGTTTGTTGATGTTTTTTTGTTTGTTTTATTTTGGGGTTTTTTGTTGGATGACTTCCTTTTGGTTGGTTGGTTGTTTTTTGAGGTTTGTTTGTTTTTTTTAAGGCTTAGACCAATATGCTTTTGTCATATGCTTTTCTAGAGTTTAAGAAAAAGTAAATCTATATTTGGGCTTTGGGAATATAGAAATATTACCTAAAGAAGCAGACTAACAGAAGATATTCAAAATTATTGAAAAATTATGAAACCATTATTAAAATAAATAACAATGCAAAGGGACGAGTGCCAAAAWGAACTTGTTATTCTTCTTGGAAATTTACATTTGCAAGCAGATATTTAGGAATACCTGGGACTCTGTCACATAGCTTAGAAGTCTGTTTATCCCATTCTAGGAGGAACTACACATTTGATACACTTTTTGCTTTCTAAGGGGAGTAAAATCCATCACAATGGCTAATTTGCTATTTTTTCCTTTGAAAGCTGCCTCACCAAGGGAATTTCTAATGGCTTCAACAGAGTTAGCTCCAAATGCCTGGTGAATGCCTGGTGAAATAGGGCTATAGACCACAGGAAACCCCGGCTCATAATCACAAGGGAAGAGAAAGTATTCGCCTGTGGACTGAATAACCTGGCACTATGGCACCAGACCATCAGTATTCTATGACATTCATGTCCCATGACTAACTACAGGCTAATTGTTCAATGCTGGGATCATCCTGGTGTTTCTTGGAGGTCAAAAAGAAAAAAAAAAACCCAAACCATGAACATCTTAGTTTTTGCTTGACACACTTTTAGGGAGACAAATGGCATTAAGCAGAAGGCACATGGGAATGTGTTGTCACAGATAGCCAGACCTTTAGTTCAGCTGCAAAGTTTTGGGTTTCTTGTTGACTTCACATAGCAACAAGTAGAAAACCAACAGCTCCCAACAAGTAGGTGCAAACTCCCAAGGATGTACCATGCTCATTTTGCTTAGCAGAAAGAATTTCTTTAAAGATTCAGGTTTTATTTATAAGCTTAAACCTACAGCAGGTTGACCTTTTGGATCAATCCAAGAAAGCATTTTGTTTTGAGCTAAAAAGTGTCACCCACTGAGGCATAAATTGACCCTTTACAGCTAGAATGGACCCAGTAGTATTCTGTCTTTTTAACACGTCAAATACACACCCTACCTGTTCTGGGCAAGTGTTGATACTGTAAATTCAGGGAGGCTGGGCCTTGGTTCTTTCTTAAGCCCAGGGGTAACTCAGTTGGCTTCAAGGGGTCACTGCTGATTCATGGCACCAGAAGGTGTAATTAGTGGGCCCAGCTCATCCATCCTGAGGCTTCCCTCCTCCTATGGATTTAGTTGCTTTGGGCTTGATTTGATTCCTCTRTGCAATTTTTCAGCCCCTACAGTGCAGCATGTGACATTTCTGTGAATCTGACAGCCAAACTGAGACTGTGAAATCTCTCTCTCTCTCTCTCTAACACATGCAAATACAGTGACACACAGTAAGAAGTTAAATTTCATATACAAAACTGAGCAATTTGAGAGGTCCAGTGACCTTGTATGTCTTCCATAAAAGGCAACTGGATGATTTTAAAGCACTATGACTCCCATTTTTTTTTAATATTAAAGTGAAAAACAGAAACAAAAAATATCAGTCCATGAACCCAAAAAACCCTTATATTGCTGAAGTTACAACAAAGCTAAAAATAAAGTATTGTAATTCTGCTTTTAAAAAAACCTTTAATAGGACACTAGGCAGCGGAAAAGAAAGTATGGTTTGGATGGGGTTTTTTAATAACACAAATATTTTTACTCCAGGTTTCATTTAAGCTCTGTTACAGTCAGTTGGTTATGAGCTCCTAAGTCAGCTCAACAGGACACTGTGGTAAGGATGATTTTGATCTCTCTCTTGCCTTTCACATATACAAAGTAGSGAGCAGAAAACAAGACAAAACTGAAAATGTCTCTCCACATGTAAACTACATCTTTGCTGACATTCCTATTCTGCTCCTGATAACCAATAAAACCCTGTAGAAAGCGGCATCTTTACAAACAGAACAAAGACAATCCTTCAATCTGTAATAAATTTTAAATAATCCCTAATGAAGTTGCCAAAGCAAGCTAAGCCATTCAAAAAGCAGTATTTCTCCAGTTGAAAGGGAGAAGAGATTTTTTTTGTGCTGAATTTTGTTCTGGCAGTGTACTGAAGTCGCTTCAGGACGTACCAGTTCCGTTTCTACATTTGCTTAATATTTTGTTCAGACATGTCTAGTCCAGACTAAGTTACCTGACTTTATTGTAGTCAGCTACATTTCTACCTTTCTGTCATACTCATCTTTGGTGCACTGGAAATCTTACTTGTTTTTTGCTAGTCTTTTAAAACAATACCAGGCCTTTGGAAAGCCAGTATGTACAGATTTTATTTGGTTTGTTGACTGTAGTACCTTTWCTGGTAATAAAACCAAAATTTCTGTTTGGCAGAGAAGTTCTGTGACAGCCCGCTTTCAGGAAGGAGGGATGGATTTGGGTGTATTCCCACTGTACCCTAATCTCAGCTGACATTTGGATAAAATATCAGAAAGCTTGTCTTAGGAAAAAGAGGCATTGCATTGTTAAAAAAAACTAAACCATTGGTTTTAATCACCCCATGTCTTTCCTGAAAATGCCTTCTTAGCACTCCAGTCTGCTCCTCAAGTTACTAAATCAAAGCTCATTGTCCATATTCTCTACCACACAAGCAGCTCCACGCCACAGCACTTTGCAAATACAAGCAGAAAGTCAAAGATTAAAGCAAGTTTTTTCAAGAAGCTTTTATATCAGAGTTGWGCATACAAGCATCCTTTCTTTTGCTTGTAAGTACAATAATCGTATTTCAATTGCATGCCTAMAATATAAAGTTAATAGCTTCCTTATTTCCTTATTTTAGCATTTCCCCTCTACTCCCTCAGTCTTTTCAATTATACAACCTAGATAWTTCCTTTCATTTCCTTCCTCCCGTGTCCTGTTTTCATTTCTTATACAAAATCATATTTGGTCACTTACACTTTTCTGGAGGATAAGCACACGACAGCAGCATCTCTTGTTCCACCATGGTGCTGTCTGTTGCAGAGGTCAGTGGTCCCTTAAAAAGTGCTTTCAGAAAATATTTTGGAAAGCTAAGCTAACTCATGCAGGCTTCTGAACTTCTCCAGCACTCTTGGCTTCTGTGTGCTGTCACATGCTATCCTCCCTCCTGAGAAACCTGTGAAACGGGTCTGGCAACACACAACTTGTGTGTCAGAAGAGTTTTAATTGATTCATTGCAACAGGTACCCACCCTCATTAAAAAAAAAAAAAAAAAAAAAAAAAAAAAGCTGTTGAAAGGAGTAGTCTCTTAGCGCCTCATTTGAAATTACAGCACCTGCCCAATGTCACAGCTGGTGCACTTTGCACTTTAAAGGGAAACTACTTGCTGGGTTTGCGAATACACAGGAAATAATTTCAAGTCAATCTTAACGTGCCAAAATAAACCACGAATAGCGGTAGAGTTGGGCTGCTTCTGTGCCGTGGGAGAGCAGGAATCCTTCTGCTGTGAGACGAGATGCCAAGGGGTGCCACTGCATCTCCCCAGGGCTCTGTGGGACAAAGCAGCTCCACATTGCTCTGCAGAGGCTTCTGTCTCCACGAGCAGCCACTCTGACAGCTACTGACATGAAAATATTGTGTGGGAATGCATCCCCAGGAAGGTGAGGGTGTCAGTGCCTCAATGCTCRCAGGGAGGGCTCCTCCATGCTCTGCCTCTCAGCAGCCCTGTCCGCCCACCCAAGGGTGAGTGAGGAGCGCCCAGCACTGCCCTGCAARCCCCTCTCAGCTCAGCTGCCATTTACCTGTTCCCCCCATGACCAAGAAGGATTGCAGGGGGACCGTGATTGTGACCCTTCACATCACGGTGCAGCCTGTGGTACTCCCACRGCAGTTCCCTACTGATTTTACAAGCTGGCAATGCCATCTCCAAGCGAGGCTGTGGTTAGCAAGGAAGCAAAAAGCAAAAGACATGGGGTTTATGCCTGACTCTGTCTATAATTTGTCCTGTCACCTTGGGCAAATTGCTTTACCTCTTGGTGTTTTTGTTTCCCCATCTCTACCACCCGCATAATTATAGGTCACTTTCTTTGGGAAATGCTTTGAAATCTCTTTACAAAATGGAGCATGAAAGAGGAAGCTGTCTTTATTTTACACTTGTAAAATATTGGGATGTGRCAGACAATAAACAGAAGAGATTTTATGCATATAAAGTGTATTGTTTAAAAAAATGACCTTATTGTAGTAATGATTTATGAAAAGAGATACTCCTACAGAATTTGGCAAAWGATCACATTTTTTTACAGTGGAATGATGAAAGAAAAATCTAAATCAATTCTCACTTCTTGGAACACTACACCCTCCTGGAAATAGAAAGTGCACCAGAGGTTCCTCAGTGGAAAATGATATAATACGGCAATTTCCTGCTTTTCTCTCACCTAGATTAATAAAATCTCCCATTTTACAGCGTGTGAGTACTTACATTGCACTCAATAGGTCTAAATCCTCACTCTAATTTTCTTCCTTTCTCATTGAAAACTGAAACTCAACAAAGCTTACAAAGATTGGTTTTGTTTTGGTTTATTCATGTGCAGTTAGGATTGAACAGATTGATGCAAAGTTCAAAGTGTTTTCCAGAGGTTGAATTCACTCATATGGGAGTCTTGTATTTCTTTTAAAACTTCAGTGAACAAAACGAAAGAGGTGTCCAGAGAAGTTGTGGGTGCTCCATCACTGGAAATGTCCTAAGTCAGATTCGACAGTACTTTAAGGAACMTGGTCTTGTGAAAGATTTGCCTGCCCACAGCTGARGGCTTGSATTAGATGATCTTAAAAGGTCTCTTTTAATGGGTTCCAACCCAAACCCTTCTGTGGCTTTGTGCATGTGTTCACCCACTTCTGCAATGCTGCTCATCAAGGAGCTTTCCTCAACAAGGAATTTTCAAAAGGGCACAACAGTGAACCAGTTTTGCCCTCGAGTTTAGAATAAATAATTTTTCACCYGTTCTAYTTGGGAAGACAGMAGTGGCTGGGCCRTGAGAAGAGCAGGAGGATCTGCCTTGGCTTTCCTGCCTGTGCTTCTGCTGCCATAATTCATGTACCTTCCCAGTCAGGGTGAAGGCATCTCAAATGATAGCAACATGCTTGAGATGATACACTCAAGACAATGTAAACTTGAAAAGTAAAACAAATTTGAAAAAGCTCTCAGGAATTTTAATGTTTGTGTGGTCTGTGAAGAAGAAAAGTTACTGCTTTTCCCCTCCTCATCCTCTTTCTGTAGGACAGTTCTCRACAGATATTTATTTATCCACTGTACTGCTTAGAATAAAATCCTTAACACGGGTGATAGCCCAGAGATTAATCTGGGCCACACTGARCTGAAGATAAGTGGATGTGGGGAAATAGCTTTTTGTGAAATGCCCCTTGATTGCACATTAATACTGACACATTCTGAAAGCTTTYCTGAGTCTCAAAACAATTCTCTGCATGACTTAACATGGCCAGCCAGCATTATTATAGRCCAGGATAATAATGCATATAATAAATGTATAACCTTGCTTCTTACTCCATAATCCACTAATTTCAGAGTCGWGTTCTAGGATGTCCTAAGGTTACTGCACTGACAATTTACAGTATGAGGTGAATCACTCAGAGCTGCAAGATCACAAACTCTTGGAAAGGCATTTGCAGAAGAGTGTGTATTCATTTGTATTGTCTGAATACATACAGTTGCAGTAGGTGACTTCTCAATAATCACATTCTCAAATGAAGCACATTATCAAACTCATGTTGGGCATCAGATAAGCACAGTCTGATTTGAATTTCAATTGTAAGAACTGTTATAAAAAAATAAAAGCTTTCTGTAGAGAGATAATATAAAGATTTCACAAGCAACACTTTATTTTTTTTTTTCTCTCTGTGTAATTCTGCCTGTGAGTGGAACAGGTAGGGAATTAAAGCTGTTCCCCAGTCTTTGAAAATAAGAGGCACAGTGTGAGTTGATTCCAACTTTTTACAGCACAGAAGTGAAAAATGTCAATTGAAGTTGTGCTGTTTGTTTGAGGTAACATTGGCATGAGCAAAAGGATTTGATTAAACATCAAATCCGAAAAACCTGAAAACCCTCTAGTAAGTTAACTAGTATTGTCAGCTTTTGCCAAAACACTAGGAAGAGTCAAGTTTACATAAAGTAGCATTCTGTTGCAATCACGAAATTAAGAGCATGAAGTGGTATCAGCCATTCATGTATTTGAACAGACTCCAAACACTCAAACTGATGCATACATTTGTGAGTTACTGCAAAGAGTGTTCAAATGACAAACATCCCATAATTGTGGTCCTTGATCTTCCAAGAAGCTCGTATCTATAATTATAATCATTGTCAGAAACAAACAGTGCAGGTTTACAGTAACTGGGCAATTGGTGCTTGTCTCCACTGCTGTCACTGAAGTGACAAAGCAAACAAGTCATGCTCTCATCTGCTTTTTTATGATGCTGCATTGTCCTCACTTCAGTATCTTGCTGTAACCTACAATTACRTGTCATTAGCTTTCCGTGGAACTGAACAAAGGCTGTTCAATCCAAGGCTGATTTGGGAATATGCCAGAAGTCTGAGGGTGGACCCTAACTGGCATTCAATGGAACAGGTTTAAGCAATTGTTCCTTTGAACAGCACAGATTGTCCACTACAGGTAATAACTGTTAGCCAGTGCTTTGTGGACATCAAGTCCTGAATACATTGGTGCAGAGAGGCATGTTGTGGTGTCATCCAGACCACTTGGGTAATCTTTGCTTTTCTGTTCCAACTGAAGAACCTTAAAATGCTTAATTTGGCAGAGTAGTGTTTGTTTGGAAAAGGCTTTCAGGTGTTGCTGCATGTGTTACTGGATGGGGCAAAGGGAGGAGGAGGAGCAAGAGCTCTCTTTGGAAGMGATGAAGCTCACTCGATGACAAACTGCGCTGAAACTGCTGCCTTGGCCGGGACACAGTGAGCTGTGAGGTTACACAACACAGAGATGCCGAGCACGGCACTGGTGGAGCACACATCCATAGCAAAGGCACAAAACACACTGGGCCCAGAGCTGATGGGTGGAAAAGGCTTTAGGACATCTTCTCTTGCTGCTTCTGTGTGTTTAGGRCAGAGGCTGTCCTGAGTTTGGGACACCTGTGGTGTAGATCCCTGTGTGTGATCAGTCCAGGCTCCACAGCCATGGAGAGAACCAGGAATGCTGAGGGCAGGAGCTGTGTGAGCTGCTCCAGAATGTCCTTTAGGAGCAGGTGAGCCATTCCCCAGACCYCTTTGTGCCCTGACTCGCTCCCCATTGTCTGTAAAGGGGACTCCCCCAAGACCAGCTCTGAGTGAATTTCAATGTTTACTAAGATGAATTCTGCTTTCCAGATGCTGCACAAAACCAAATAGGTTGCCTTTGTTTTTCTACCTGCACTTTTCTATTTATTTTTCTGGGACAGGGGAATGGATAGTTTCCACTAAGCTGTGCCCTGCAGACCCCAGGATGACACTGGGACCATGAAGAACAAGAGGAACCATAAAGCGATAGACAGCAAYAGCAGTGCTGAACATGTCATCACCTAGAAATAAAATTAGGGGACCTGTTTAAACCATCTGAAATTTATCCTTAAACAAGGTTTTCTGAACAAGGTGTTAAACTGTTGAATTTTTTTTGTTAGATTTTTTTTTTCTCTTAGATATTTAAAAAAATATTTAAATTAAATAACAACTCAATATTTTGATTTCTCAAAATCACAAACCAAATGCCATCACATACTTTTAGACGAAATCTAGTTCAAGCATCCACTGGCAGGGTAATTTCTGTGTGATATGTATCTGCTGTCAGATACAATGCAGATTTCTGAGGAGCCAAGAGAGGTAAGATAGCTTGGTACGCTGGCTGCTTCATCTGGAGCAATTTCAAGGAATGCAGCTTTAAATACCAGGCCATTCAACACTGCTATCAAAGCTTTTCCTTCTAAACTTCCAGTTCCTTGAGATAAATGAGCAAATCCCATCAGGCTGAAAGGACCATGGGAATGAAGTCAGCCTGCTAGGCTGCTGCAGAAACCTGAAGGGCTCCAGGGAGAAAATGTTGGGAGGAAGTGATGTGCTTTCCCATTCTCTGAGAGGGTGATGCAATGTGTTGTTATCCAGCACTACTTTTTTTTTTTTCC